CTATTTTCCCTGGAGTGTTGGAGGCTGAGGGGTGATCTTATAGAGGTTTATAAAATAGCCAAGGTCTTTTTCCCAGGGTACGGGAGTCCAAAACTAATCGGCATAGGTTTAAGGTGAGAGGGGAAAGATATAAAAGGATCCTAAGGGACAACATTTTCACGCAGAGGGTGGTGCATACATGGAATGAGCTGCCACAGGAATTGTTGGAGGTAGGTACAGTTACAACATTTAAAAGGCATCTGGACGGGTATATGAATAGGAAGGGTTAAGAGGGATACGGGCCAAATGCTGGAAAATGGGACTAGATTGATTTAGGATATCTGGTCCGCATCGACGAGTTGGACCAAAGGGTCTGTTTCCGCGCTGTACAACTCTATGATTCTATGATTCTAATCCATGCTATTTTTGATAATGCTATGGGTAACAGTGAGAGAACCGCTTACCTGAACGACTGTAGCTCCGACAATGCTCAAGAAGCTCAACACCATCCAGGATAAAGCAACCTGCTTGACTGTATTGCAGCCAGCACCTTCAATTTTCACTCCTTCCATCACCAATGCATAGTAGCAGCAGTGTATACCACCTACAAGATGCAGTAACTCACCGAGGCTGTTCAGACAGTGCCTTTTAAACACACCACCTCTAACACTAGGTAAGACAACGACAGCAGATGTGTGGAAGCACCAGCCCATGTATTCCCCTCCTAGCCACAGATAAAGGGTTTGCCTTATGAAGAGAGATTGAGCAGTTTAGGCCTATACTGTCTGGAGTTTAGAAGAATGAAAGGAGACCTAATTGGGGTATATAAGATGCTAAAGGGAATTGACAATGTAGATGTAGAGAGGATGTTTCCTCGTATAGAGCAATCTAAAATGAGAAGTTTTAGAATAAAGGGAGTAACACATTTAAAACAGAAGTGAGGATAAATTACTTCTCTCAAAGGGTCACAAATCTGTGGAATTCCTTGTCCCAGAATGTGGTGGATGTCAGGTCAATGAGTGAATTTAAAGAGAAGATAGAAAGATTTTTAATTGGTAACAAGTTACAGGGTTATGGAGAGCTGGCAGGAAAGTGGATATGAGGCTGAGATGAGATCAGCCATGAAATAGCAGGCTCAAGCGACTGAATGGCCTACTCCTGCTTCTGGTTCTTGTGTTCTTATATCGTAAGACACACACCATCTTGCTTTGGAAATACATCACCATTCCTGCACTGTTTTTAGGTCAAAGTCCTGGAACACCCTCATGTCTAACAGCACTGCAAGTGTCCCGGTAGTATGTGGACTGCAGTGATTCAAGAAAGTGGCTCTTTCAAGGGCAATTAGGGACGGGCAACGAATACTAACTTAGCCAACAATGTCCATATCCTTTGATTGACTACATAAAAAATGTCTTGTCTGAGGCTGCTTGTCAGATATATTAGATTATAATCTGCCTCAGGTCCCGCATGCTTTGTATTGTCCCAAACCTTTCAATGAAATATCAAAATAAGAGTGTTCAGACTGGGAGACAGGGAGGTCTACAGAGAATATATCCGGCGTTTTTTGCAATTGCCCTTTAACCAATAAAACAATGAATCATCATTGCAGCAAGCTAATCCTAATTTCACATGTAATTCCTTTCTGAAATTTTATTTCAACAGTCGGCAAGTGCCCAACGATTTGGAATTCAAAAAAGGTGAAAGCGACTTGTTACACACCGGATATCCAACATTGGAAACCATTCAGCCAAACTTTAAATGAATTGAAACCATCCAGTGAGTGCTGGGATTAGATTAATCTCTGAAAATCACTGGCTGGTTTCTGTCAAGGTGTTCTGCTATATGCTTTTGAGTGGGGTTATCTCTTTAATCAAGGTTTTGTGCAAACAGAAGCTGTTTGCTCAATCCTGCGGGAAGGGTCAAGGCCCCAGGTGTGAACTTCAGTCAGAAGCAAGCTGAAACATCAGTACTAAATAAGGCCCAAAGTCATGGCCTGAATTTTGTCCAGAGATTTTCAATAGCCAGGCTGGTAGACTTCAGAGAAGGGCTGAGAGTAGTCAGGAACAAAAATAAAGTTGCTGGAAATGCTCAGCAGGTCTGGCAGCATCTGTGAAGGAAAAAACAGAGTTAACGTTTCAGGTCCGGTGACCCTTCCTCACAACCCAGGTTTGTCTGGGAAGGGGTGTGGGCCTACATTAGCATAGGCCTCCACTGGGCACAGGGTATCCAAACAGGAAGGGTCTCTCCCATCCTACCCCATGCTGGCAAAAAGGCTACCTGCCTTGGCCACCTCCCAGAGGCAGTAGAAGTCAGTGCATTAGTGACCATTAATTGGACACTCACTAGGTCCCAAAGGTAACCAAGCCACCTAATGTCTCCCCCACTGTGGATAAAAGACTATAGAGACATGGTGCTGCCACCATAGCACCATATTTTATGCTCCTTCCTGCTTGCCAAATGTCTTAAATGGGTAGGTTGTGGGAAATTCAGAGGGAGGGGTTTTGGTATGAAGCTCCATAGTATTGATTTATGAGTTGAAGACAATTCAATGTCCTGATAAGTACCATGGTTAACTATTATCAGTCACCAATTGGACTTCAGCTAGAGTATGGTATATTATGTTAGGCACCATAATATAACAAGAAGTCAAGGGCATAGACAGGGTGCAATGGATATTCACTAGACTGGTACTCCAGTGATTTGGAGACAGGAGAGAAGCTGGGATTATTCTCTTTAAAGCACATAAAGTTAAGGTATTGAAAATTATAAATAGTTTTGGTAAGAATCTCCAGGGACAAGCTGTTTCCACTAGCAGGAGGGTGGGTAAGCAGAGGATATCCATTGAAGGCGATTGACAAAATAACCAGAGGGAGGGACACAGACAAGTTATTATAGGCCATATGCTGTTCTGATCTGTGTGCACTGTCTGAAAGGGAGGTGAATGCAGATTCAGTTGTAATATTAGAAAAGGAACTGCATAAATTCTTTAAGGGGAAAAGAATTGCAGGCATCAAGCAGGGGAGTGTGACTGAATGAATAACTCTTTCAAAGATTTGCATGATCTTGCTATTGACCATTCAAACTATCAACTTGTCCATTGACACACACTATGCCTTTGAGTCATAGCATCTTAAGGCAGAGCAGTGGCAGAGAAGAGGCAAAAATGGAAGGATATCCTGCCCTCCAAGTCATGGGGCATCCAGCCCCATGTGGTCAAAGTCCTCCAGGTCGAGAATTGGTCCACTCATCCACAGCCTCAATGGCTATGAAAGAGCTGGTGTGGTATATGGGGTTTAATGACTGCATGATTCCACTAATTACAAAATGTGTCCACATGAAGACCTTAGGTTCCGTGTACATCAGTGGAAAGTACCTCAAACAGGGATTCAAATACTGTTTGATACCTTTGACTTGCAATCCAGTCAAAATCTGAAGCATCCTTCTTTCTCCTTTATTCATTAATGGGATGAGGGTATTGCTGTCTGGGCCAGTTTTCTTTGCCCAGCCCTAATTGCCCAGAGGGCAGTTATGAGTCAACCACATTGCTGTGGGTCTGGAGTCACATGTAGGCCAGACTAGGTAAGGATGGCAGTTTCCTCCCTGAAAGGGTGAACCAGATGGGTTTTCCTGACCATTGACAATGGATTCACGGTCATCATTAGACTCTTAATTCCAGATATTTTACTGAATTCAAATTCTACCATCTGCCGGATTTGAACCCAGGTCCCCAGAATGTTATCTGAGTCTCTGGATTAATAGTCCAGCGATAATACCACTAGGCCATTGCCTCCCCTTAAAGTTCTTTAAAACCAAGTTGTTCATGAAAACAGCTTTGTTCCTAGTTTTACCAAAACTCTATTAAAGTTTGTAGAATTCAACTTTAACAAATTTCTACATTAGTGAAAACATTTAATGGGGTTTTCAGAGGGAAATATTCCAAATCAGCCTGCCCATATATATTGGTAGAGCTATTTACTTTGGGTGTTTGTGTGCTTGTCAGTGAAAGTGGTCAGCTGAGAAAGTAGTTAGTAAAACATATAATATCCTGGGTTTTATTCATTGTGCCATGGACTACAAGCGAAAGGAGGTTATGCTAAACTTTATGAAACACTGGTTCAGCCTCAACTCCAGTTCTGGGTACCACATTTTTGGAAAGTTATGAAGGCATTTGAGAGGGTGCAGGAAAGATTCACGAGAACGGATCCAGGCATGAGGAACATCCATTACATAGAAGGATTAGAGCAATTCTCCTTAGAGAATTTCAGAAAAGATTTGATCAAAGTCTTCAAAATCACATCTGGACACAATAGGTCAGGAGAAACTGTTCCCGGTGATGGTAGGTTGTGGTGAGTTGGTGGCGCAGATTTAAGATAATGGGTAAAAAAAATGACATGAGGAGAAATGGTTTCACACAGTAAGTGGTTAGGATCTGGAATGGGCTGCCTGATAGTGTGGTGGAGACAGGTTCAATTGGGGCATTCAAGAGGGATTTTGGATTGTTATCTGACAAAGAAGAACATGCAGTCTTACAGGGAGGAGGCAGGAGATTGGCACTCAGTTCATTGCTTTTTTGGAGAGCCGGTACAGAGACAATCATCTGAGTGGCCTCTTTCTGTGCTGTAACCATTCTGCCATGAATCAAAATGATTAGCAACACCGTGCTGGAACGTCAAGTTTACAAGTGACTGATGACATCGTCACTGTTGGCCCAATCATAAGAATATAAACCCAGTTTGCTTCAATTCCCTCCATCTTATGATGTAGGGGCATTAGTTATTCAGGGCTTCAGTGAATTTTCACCAATGCCAATGAAAGCAACAAACTCAAGGCATAGCCTGTCCTTCACTGATTTTCCCAGTACGGTTTTCGGCTTGGCATAATGAGGGAATCCTCTATATTTACATAACTACAACTCCGACAGCTTTACATTGAAGACTAAGATGTCCATCTGCATTGTAACAGTCTGAAATCAAATACCCCTTCTATTAAAATTAAGCAAATATATCAGAATTGTTAGTACAATTTTACAGGCTGTCAGTCATCGCTTATATACCCACTGGGCCCTACTTAATTCAATAGGGTGGATTTATGTTACACTGGCACCTCTGAGACATCATAAGCAGAATGTGGCTTCATCTCGAATGTGATGGACTTCTTTTCCTGTTCCATGTCCCTCCTTGCCTCCTTACTGCAGCCTGGGCCAGTACTGGGCCATGTCCTGATCACCTCCAGGAACCTGAACTGGAACTGACACTCCAGGGGAAATAAGTCCTGTGGTTAAAAAAAAAACGGAAAATGCAAATAAGTAGATTGCCACTGACATTGCTGTGTGCGAGAGTATTGCATTCCAAATTGTCCCTTTGGTTTTGAGAGATAATCCTGAAGGAATTCCCCTTTCATTGACCCATGAATATCATGTTTTACTATCTCTCATCTCAAATGCCTGATTTTGAAAAAAATCTATTCACTTTCCCGCTTAAACATTCTCTGATCCAATGAAACCTCCCCCCCACCCAACCCTAGATTTTGAGCCAATCTTCTGCCTAAGTTATAGTGAATCCTTCTGTTCCCCTTAAATGAGCTCAATATTCTTATAAGACAACGCCCAGATCTGCACACCCTAAGGTCACTGGGTCCTGAATATCATCTTCTCTGCGCCCATTCACCAGGAAATAAGAGGATCTTGTGTTATATGCCTATTCTCCACTGACCGCATATTGCTGGACAAAGCATCCTGCTTTTATCAGGAGGTTCTTCTGAGTTCAGTCATGGGTTTTGTTTGCTGTAGTTTATAGGAAATTTTTAAATAGACTTTGTAGGTGCTTTGATGTAATGCACTGTTTAAATAGCCTCTGTTTACTGCTTGCAGTGGTATGTTGTTTAAATAGACTCAAGACTGCTCTAGAATGCTGTTTACATACTGTGAACTGTCTGCAGTGCTATATAGTTTAAATGAGAGCTCTAAGCTGTTTGCATTTCTATGAAGTTTAAATAGACACTCTAGATTGTTCGCAGTATCATATTGTTGTGATGTATTGTTCAAATGTTTGCTGAATGATTTGAATTTCTTTGCCTTTAAATAGACTTTTTGCTGTGATCTTCCTTGGTTGATACAGCAAAATGGCAATAAACATTTATCCCTTTCTTTGCCTTTTCCACTTCTTCGTAGAAATTCATGATCTCCCTATTTTAACGTGTACATAATCACAAATATAAAGGCCAGCACTATCAGTGATGCGTTCCATAAAGACATTTATTGAGGTTATTGCCACAGCTGAAATATGCATCTATTGAAATTGCAGGGCCCAAGTTCAATCCTTGATCATATAGAAAGAAAGATTTACATTCTTTTGGATAACAGGACATCCCAAAGTTCTTCAGAAACAATTTAGTACTTCTGCAGTGTAATTTTTGTTGTAATATAGGAAATTCAGTGTAGTGATTGGGACCAGGTTCTTGATTGGGATTGTTAACCTGGGCCAATCGAGAAAGCCCTGGCTGACCAATATAACCAGGAGTTTCGAATCTCCTCAGTTGAAGATTGAGTCCGAGCTGGCTGCCCACAACCAGTGTACTGTCCACAAATAAATAAAGTGACTTGGTGACAGGACCTGGCCTCTGTACAGTTATTTCAGCGGTGACAAGAATGGGATATTTTCTCCGGGCAAACGACATTGGGGCAGATGAAAAGCAACGAGTAGTCTTTCTGAGTGCTTGTGGACCCAAAGCAATTTTCATTATAAGGGACTTAACTTTCCCAGAGGCACCAGACACTAAAACCTTCCAAGAGTTGACAGAGTTGGTTAAAGAATATTATGACCCCAAACCTCCTCTAATTCTGAGATGCTATTGGTTTTATTTGGCTGTTAGAGAACCGGGCTAATCTGTATTGGGATTTTTGACAAGGTTGCGTCGACTGGCAAAGCCATGTGATTTTAGGTTAACCCTGAATGAAATGCTGAGAGATTGTTTGGTATGTGAGATTAATGATGTAACCATGCAGCAGCTCCTACTAGCTGAAGCCCAACTGAACTTCAAACAAGCTCTGCAGCTGGCTTGTCATTAGAAAATGAGGCAAGTGCAGCATGGGAGCTACAGGGCGTCCCAATGGAAGTGGACTTCCTCACCTGTCCAACTGAGCTTGGGGAACACCACGTGAGTGTAGGCAAACACTGAGACTCACGCAGGGCATGACCTGAGCAGAGGGACTCCAGGGTAGCCCACAGCAAAACCCCACAACAAAGCTGAGCCTCGGCCAAGTGGCTAAAAAGTTCTTCAGGATCTGGGCCGGCAAGCCAATGTAGTTGCTGCTGGTATGCAGACTTGAGACAGCAAAGGAGTCCTACAAGGCCCGATGTGAGTAAGAAAACTCATAGGCTAGTACCCAGGAGACTGCACACCCTGGGAAGTTCCCCTACATGTGGGTTGGAACAATTAAATTGCTATTGACACCCAAATCAGAGTCAATTAAAATTAATGTTTGGTTAAATGTTCATCCAGTTCCCATAGAGGTTGATACCACCGCAGCTGTATCTGTGGTTGCAGTATCTGTCTTTAAGAAGATTCGCTCGGGACTCTAACCTTTGAACTTGTGCAAGACCTCAGCCGGACTGAGAACATACTCTGTGAAACTGTTGCAGATTAAGGGTACGACTTCGGTTCCAGTTTCTATGAGAAGCAGTTGGTGTAATTACCACTGATCGTAGTAAAAGGCTCAGGCCCAAGCCTATTGGGGCGGAATTGGTTGAGAAAGATTCACCTGGATTGGCTTAACATTTTCCAATTGGAAATTGCTGCCTCAGTGAATTCCTAGTGAAATACCCAGGAGTTTTTCAAGGGCTTGGGACTATCAAAGGGGCCAAACCCACTGTACATGTTGACCAGGGCGTAATTCTGAGATTGTGTAAGGCCCACCCAGTGCCGTTTGCCTTGTGGGCAAAGGTAGAGGCGGGAATCAGCAGGCTGGAGAGTGAAGGAATCTTCAAACCGGTGCAGTTTGCAGAATGGGCAGCACCAGTCGTACCAATTCTGAAGCCTGACGGCACAGTTAGCCTTTGTGGGGATTTTAAGCAAACCTTAAACTGCTTCTCGCAGCTGGATAAATACCCGATCCCTCGCATAGAGGACTTGTACACAAAGTTGGCGGGGGCTGCTGTACTTTACAAAGCTGGACATGAGCCATGCCTACCTGCAATTGCGACTGGATGAGGAGTCCCAGAAGTACGCTACAATTAAGACCAATAAGGGTTTATATCAATATACAAGACTGCCATTTGGGGTATTATCAGTCTTCGCTCTTTTCCAGCGCACTATGGAGAACATTTTACAAGGACTACAATAGGTCGCCATTTATCTGGATGACGCACTAAAAACTAGGAAGACCAATAAAGAGCACTTGGAGAACTTGGACATTGTGCTTAAATGTTTCTCCCAGGCAAGTGTATGCCTTAAGCAGGAAAAACGTATGTTCCAGGCACCTCAAGTTGGGTTACAGATTCGTCAAAAATGGGTTACACCCGTTGGAGGTTGAAGTGAGGGCAATCAAAGGAGCTCCAGCTCCCACATCTGTACTGGAGCTTAGGTTTTTCCTTGGATTAGAGAAATATTACGCAAAATTCATACGTAACCTGGCCTCCATCTTGGCCCCTTTACACCTGCTATTAAAAAAAGGGGTCAGCCTTGGAAATAGTCATGAAACCAAGAAGTAGCCTTTAGGGAAGTGAAAAAGCAGATACTGTCATCTAAGGTGTTGGCCCACTACAATCCGAAGCAATATGTGGTGCTGATGTGTGATGCCTCCCCGTTTGGTATGAGGGTAATGTTGGCTCACTGGTGGCCTAAAGGGGAGGATCGCCCGATGGCATATGCTTCCCGGACTTTGACTGAAGCCTAACACAAATATGCCCAGATAGAGAACAAAGGTTTGGCGGTCATCTTTGGTGCGAGGAAGCTCTACCAGTACTTTTACAGGTCACAAAGCCCTGCTAGGGCTAGTGAAGGCAGTGCCGCCCATAGCTTCCAGTAGAATTCAGCATTGGGCCCTTATTCTCAGAGCGTACAATACAAATTAGAGCACCATCCAGGAAGCCAAATGGCTAATACTGATAGACAAACAGGAGGCTGGA